ATCCGTGTAAATGACCATAAAATATTCTACGTTGTAATTTTTTTTTTACGAAACCAGTTTAGCTGTTTAAACGTCTGTAAGTAACAAACACTTAAACATCTTTACAAACTTTTACATTTACAATATTACCAGGAAATTGAATCGATTTCTCTTGATATAGTAAAAAGATAATAAAAAAAAATATTATCGCTTGCAGTTATCATTGTAAAATCATTGTTTACAAATCGGAATTGGGCAATGGAATGAAATCATACTTATGTCATCAGAATTTTCATGTTTATCGTACAGTTTATTATTAAATTTCATCATTATCATATCAGTCGTTAACTGTCGACTGCTAAGCATAGGCCTGCTCCAGAAGGGAGTTTTGAAAATAGTTGGCACACTTGGTAGGTGGATTGTCACTCGCAATTAGGCTTTGTTGATGTTTTAATAGGGACGCTAGTGCCTATACCTCGACCATTAAAATTAAATTTATTTGAATAAAAAATAGTGCTATTGTATTCTGTCAACAGGATGTCATATAATATTATAATATAGAGATATAAAGCACAACGAACTAATGAAATAACAACAACTTTAAATACATTATGACGTGTGTTTTTTTTTTTTTTATACAACTTAGAATGGCAAACAAGCTAGAGGCTCACCTGATGGAAAGTAATAACCACCGCCTATAGACATGAGCAGTACCATGGACAGTTGAACAGTTTTCCAACACGATAAACCAATACAATAGATGAATACATCTCATACCAAAATATCTATGCCTAACAGTGGAATGTTGATACATTATAATAATATTATGTCATCGTCGTAAAGATTTCTTATATTACCCGGATTAGAAAACAGACTTCGTGATTAAGTAAAATGAAAGATATCATAGATTACTGTGATGTCTGTGAAACTTCCGAAAACAAAGATTGTCGTGACTATTCTATACTTTATTTCATTTCACGGCAGAAATAACTAAGGCCGTGCTAACTTTTGACTAGTCAGTCATAATACAACCACTACCTAATTATTCGTGATAACTCTATTAATTACATAATGCTCCAGCAAATCTACTATGTAAACAACACATATTAAATTGTTTACAGTGGTTTTACACATGACAATGTAGATCACGTTGCAACACTGCACTTCTATAACAATCTGGATCTCCAAGATAGATAACTATGCTAATATCGACTTTAATATCGAATAATTACATCCTTCCATGATAAATATGATAATTCTTGTATAAACAAAGACGCCAAACAAGCAATTTATTCAGCACGAAGTGTTGCTGTTTTTCTCCTCATTAAATCTTTCATCTCTATTTATCACAAGATACCTACGTTTGCAAGTTGTTCATTGATGCATAGTTAACATTTTATACTTATAATATGAGATAATATAACTCTAAACTCGTCGGCCTCGAAATAGCTCGTAGTCACTAAGAAATAGTACCTAACTACATGAACGCCGTTTAATTATATTAGTTGCCACAATATTGTCTGAAACTTGTACCACATATAAAATAATGGAACAACTTATAAATATATTATCTTGGTTTTCTACTAATATATTGCAGAGTACATTAATTTTCATATTTGTGTGTAATTAAATTTATCTGTAATTATGTATAATGACTTTATTTTTAGTATACTATCTTGAATACGGGAACAAAGACGGAAGTGTTTTAATTTAGATCCAGGCCAGTTTAAAATAATTAATTATAATGCACTTCTGCGAGGTCAACATCTACATTGCCAATATAGTTCGGCTTTAAAAATCTCAAACCTAAGACTTCGTTAGTCCATGAATAAGTTTTGGTCTCTGGAGCATTGACCCACATTCGCGTATTGCGGGACATTTGGCAGACGCATGCTTCTAAAATATAACAGCCCCATATTGCCGAGTTGAACGCGTCCCGGCCCATCGTATAGTGTTACTCTAATTTTGAAACGCCTTCCGGTCACTAGACCCATTCTTTGTATTATTTACTATTTCGATACTGTAACCTCAAATTGAATTTAGTTTTTTTTTTTCTAAGAAGAGCTACATAAAGTTTCCCAGTAAAATGAAAGTACTGGGAATCTGCTTATGAATAAGTACGATCGTCATAAAATGCAAGCATGCAATATAACAACAATAAAGTGTTATCGACCATAATTTTGTTAAAAAATAAAATGCATACATTTAACATGTAAGGTAAGATAAGAATTTTTAGTACATTTTGTGATTTTTCTCTGTACAACGTTTACTTTATATATAATTTAATCTTTAACATAATTAATTTTTGTGTATTTTATTTTTGTTTTTATATTTATTTTATTATATTCTGATATTCAAAAATACAAAATAAAAATGAAACAAGCAAAAGCAAAAAAGTCTGATAGACAATATTTCGAAGAATTATAGACAAATTATTAATTCGGGGCATTAATTTTATTCATGACGTTCTTTCTTGTATCTTGGATGATATATTTTGATAATTTACTATCGTCTCTGTCTTCACAAAAGCCACATCTATTACGTCAGTTACAGTATAATGCAATATATGATACGTGTCCAATCCAAACTTACCAGAAAATTTGTGTAAATTAGTTAATATTAATATTAGAATCCTTCATCATTTTCTTACCTTTGTGCAGCATATTTTCATCTTTTTGTGAATTCTATCAGTCGTCATATCTAAGATTACATAATCACAGATTATTTATGTATCTGTTTAATCTGCAACTCCTTTAGAGTTCTAATATGTACTTGCAAAGTATAATATTAAATGGGAATAACTAATTTATAAATGTAGTAATAATTATGTATAACATGCATTAACTAAATCTGAATTTAGTTCGGTATAACATACGTTTTTGTAATTAATAGCAATTTGTGTGCTGAGATGTCGTACAAAACATTATATGACATTAGTTATATCTTTACCTCACAGCTTACATAATAACTACAATTATATAAAAATAACAAAACGCGTCTGATCTAGCCAACAATTATTCCCAGTGTTAACAAATGTCTAGTAAATTTATTGTTTACCTTAATTTTATAATTAATTTCTGTCAGTCTGCAATGTGCTTTACCTTGCTTCTTGTAATGCTGTTGTTATTTATACATATTTTATGTAATTGTATCTTTGTTATAGGAAAACGATAGTGTTTACTTTTATTAATTCAATAAGTATTGTGCACTTTATAACTATTATAATACGTATGGTGTAGCTATAAAAATTAGTTCATGTAGTATTTGAATAAACTCACAAATGATTACACATTTCGAAATAGTTTATTCCGTACGTTCATTTAAGCGTTTACTTTTGGCGACTACCTTTAGATCTATTACTCACGATGACCTCATATAAATTTACTTACTATAAGTAAAACATTACAAACTACTATGAAATTGCAATGACTCATTTATCTCAAACTATCTATGTATTCGATGATGAAAAGACTGTACAATAAGATTAACATTATTATTGTTTCCTTACTAGTATAGGGTTTTTTTATTAAGCGACTTTAAAAGGAAAAACAATTCGCGTGTATTTTTCTTTAGATTACTTAATACTATATTCGTCGATTCGAAACTGATTTTGATAACTCTTTTTCCAATCGATAAGGTTTACTCTTGATATGGTAACATATTAATGTTGTTGTAATAAAGTTGTTGCTTTTTAAAGAACAAAATTCATTTAAATATATAAAAGCAAAACAAATGTCAAAAACATAAATATGTACTTTTTTAAAAGGTATACAGTAAAAAATAGTATTAATAATATTTTAGCAAAGTTTACTAAATATAATAGACAACTACAATAATAGTGAGAAAGACTTATTTTAAAAACTTTCCATATAAGAAAAAGTGTTTCTCCACTGTTGTAGCTATAATTATAGTAATGTTGATCCACTTTCACTTTGAGGTTTCCTCTTTATGTACGAACCTTAGATTAGGAACTTTCGCAAAAATCATCGTTACCATTAAGAGCAATTAAATAATACTTACGGTAACAAAAAAAAAATGGCCACAAGTATCCAACAGGACGTCAGTAAGAACATTTAATAACTGGATACGATATCGCTAATCGAAAAATAATACCTATATATATATATTTATTTATTGCTAGAAGGAAAACTCGTTTTTCTTGTTGGAAAAACAAGTATTCTTGAAACACCCGTAAGGGACCCTAAAGCTATTTTAATGGATGCCTAACTTATAATAATCGTAATATGTACATGATTTTAATTGATTCTACCTTATCACTAAAAAATTCTACCTTATTATTAGAAAAAAATATTTTTGTGTAAAGCGAAATATTAAGGTATTTTATTACAATGTTCTTTAATGAAGCTTGGTTTTAGAAACTTTTTGTGACAAATAATTTACGTCGTCGTCAACGAAAATTGTTAGTCATTTCACGTCGTCAGTTATTATTAGTATGATCATATATATATTTAAAAAGAGAGACATTCAAGTTTCTAAATGCAAATCAGCTTATTATTTTCATCAGCATTTCGGTCTAATTGGCAGTCAAACAAAGCTAATGTATGTCTATCTAGTAATTAAGTGGAACTCAATATGTTTAAGAAAGAGATGTGCCTAGCTTTTATCTTCCTTTCTCTTCAAACAATAGATAGTGTTTGATTTATAAATAGTGAAGTTTCAGATACTCGTTTAGTCTTTTGTGGTTGTTGGTCAATTGCATGTTGTTTTTGATAATTTACTTGTAAATACAATACAAATACTTAATACGTTTGAAAATTTTCATTCGTTCTCAGATTTGTTTAAGCGATTTCAGCTAAGTAAAAGTGGAACACTTTCTCAAGAAACAAATTACTTTCAAAACAAAATGGTTTCGCAATATAATTTTTATACTTTGCCAAATTATATGCTCTAACTCTTATTTCATACAGGGGTACTTTCTTTTAATTTATATTCGAGAAGTGAATAATCTTTCTTATAGCTTAATAAAAGTGAATTAAAAAGGACTTTCTCTTTTGTTTCAGTGTCAACATTTCTACCCCAAACATTATGATTTACAAATGGATATTATGATAAGAGTGAAGTGTTGTCAAGAAACTAAAAATCCAAAGTGACGAAGTGCCCTGTAGGTGTCTGTAGTGCTACGTTCCGTATTTTGTCCTATTCTTATATACTTCCTTTAGAATTTTCAAAATGTCAGACAAAACCACGTCGTCGGTAGGCCCAAGGAGCTTCGAAACTATTTCAGAAGAGGACTTTGGTTCGCCGTTTGAAAAGTTGCTGGGAGATGTGAAACCACCTGTTCCTACTGTGATCAAAACGAATACGTCGAATGCGATAGTATCCAAAGACGAGGTATCGTCACATCCTCGTGTTATGGATCTTGAGGCTAGCAAGTTAACGAGGTCCAAGAGTTGGAGAGACCAGCGGAGAAGCAGTAGCAACGGTCTTCTCAGCTCTATCCCTCGGCAGTTAAGGCTTTCTCTTCGAGGAGTTCGCAGCGAACCATCCAGTGTAAAGGACGTGCCAACGACCAGAAATGATAGCTCCCTCAATCTCCTTCTTAGGTAAGCTACATGTTTATATATTTTTTATATACTTTTTTATATTCAGTTTGAACATAAATTTTACGTAATAATAAAAATGTATAGTACAGACGGACTTATCCCCTAAAGGGATTTCTTCCGGTCAACCTTGAGAGCCCTAAAGGAAAAATTATCTATAGAGTATTGTCTATATCTATTTTAATCATGTATTATTTTTATCTTTTATAACAAAAATATTCCGTACTACTTCAATAATTGATTTATAAATTGCGATAAGGAGCTCACAATATAGTATGTGATGTTGATGGTATCGTTCATGTCTATAAAATGTTGAGTACTACTCATTGGTGGGTCATCAGCTTGTTTGGTATTCCAAATAGAACATAAAAAATTAACGGCCAGGTTCATAACTTTAGCAACGGTACTGGTATTAAATTGGCTATGTATATTTAGCTGTACATTGCATGTGTATTTATTAAATAAATTGCTGATATCTTTTTGGGGTAACTACAAAACGGTGACTAATCAAAAAACCGTTGTTATATCTTGATAGATATGTAAATTGACCATCATAACAGTAGTCTGATAGCACTTAATAATTTAGTAACTATAAAGAGTGTTCTATGCAAATAAAAGTGTGTAGTAAGGCTTCACAATATAAAGAGATAGACAAATTTATAATTGAATCTTATAATGACAGTAATAAAACTTCGTATATAATAATTAAATACAAGGAACAAGTTAAATGTTAAATGTATTCGGTTGCATGCCTCATGGTTTCAGTGAGGAATTCTTATTGGAAATACAGAGGTCAAGAACAACGCCGTCGGTATGGCTTCGTCTGCGGTCGCCACGGTTTATTGCGTTTTCATCGAGCCTTCCATAATTACTGTCTACCATGTAGCCTTCAGTTTATTAGAACCTTCGCGCTTCAAGATACATAGGGCTTCGTAATTGGTTATGATAAAAATTTAATGGAGTCGTTATAAACTTTTGTCACATATTAAACAATAGACAGATTTTTCGTTGCTTTTTGGTATCAGTAAGAACACGCAAATTTAAAAAAAAAATATAGTAAAAGCAATACGAAGTAAGGACAAGACAATTACTTTCATAATTATTGTTTGGTATAATTAATGGTCATGTCGGAATGACTGGAAATATAGATAAAATAGAATGCTATACGGCACGAAGCCCGCCTTTTGTACCAAACATTTTTTGTTATATAGTCTATAAAAAAAGAAAAACATATTACACCGATTAAAATAATACAAGATAACAGCAGGAAGATGATAAACTTGAACTTGATAGACTAGGGTAAATAACTTTCCAGTATTTTGACTTTACTACATAAGCACTACAACTGTTGCTGCAAGACTGATAGTCTAATGGTCATATTTTTTTAAGAACACTATAATTTAGTAAATATACCATATTTAGTTCTATTATTAATATTGAATTAGATTAAAATTCAATTACTAAGAAAAATATTTCATAAAAAGAAAACACTTTAACGATTTCATTTTTTTTTAATTAAAATAAATATAAAATGTTTCAAACATAATGTATGTACATTTAAAATACTAAAATTTAGAACGGGGAATTGTGTGTCTATACGTATACACTTCGTATCAAAATGGAACGTAACCTTATCAATTTCAAAACAGTTATAAAAATTTACTCACTATTAATGAATTACGTAATGTACATATAAAAATATAAAGGTGAAAACTCTTCTTTTGAAAGAAAAATGAAATAGTTATTATTAGTATTTATTTTAATCTTTTTTGTAAACTATCGCTTTGTATCATATATAAATATGTATGTATGTATGTATCTAGTGTGTGTGTTACGAGTAATAAACTATTTATGACAAAAGAACAAAACAAAGAAGTATACAACGATTTCAGATTCTAACGCATCAATTAATCCGCGTCTTAGCCGTCTTAATATGGAACATAAATTACTTAATGGTCGCACTTAAAAGGCTCTTCCGTTTCACGTCCGAAGCTGTAGCAGATAACTTTCTCGTCGTATGCAAAATTTTGCAAAGGAAACGGACGTCCTCATGTACAAATCGTAACGACTTGCCGGAAACACGACGCCCGCAATAGCCGAAACAATGCTTCGATGACAATGAGTAGTTCGATAGATATGACAATACAGTCTTAGGCAATATCGATCAGATATCCTTTAAACGATTTTGAAAAGCGATTTTTATTATCTTTTTAATGGGTTTTAAAACGAAAATTTTGGATTAAGTTGATTTTTTTTCGCGTATATGAAATGTAATAGATAACAGAATTTAAAGATTAGGAAATCTCGTGTTACTGCCATGTTAATTTTGTTAAGAATATTGTTAATTCTATTTATTACTATAAATGCAAGTCTGTCCTTATAAATATGTGTATATATATGTATGTTGACAAATATCTGAATTGAATGAAAATTGACGTAGAAATAGCCTTGAATTAAATTATCTGTGGCCTTGACAAGATAAAAAATCTATACAAATGGTACATCTATCGTTACAAATATATTTACAGCTATAGTATCAGTAGTTATATATAATAGCAGCTGTCGCTGGAGATGTACCTTCCACTCATAACCATAAAAGCATAGTATTTGTTTAAAGTTTAAGTGTGTCACATTGTGATATATACATTACGATAGTATTTGCGACCTACTTTATCGATGAACGATAAGGCTGCATAAATAATTCTACACTGTGTCTTTTTTATACAACTAAGAATGGCAAACAAGCTGACGGCCCACCTGATGGAAAGTGGCATTTTATTTTATACAACTTAGAATGGCAAACAAGCGGACGGCCCACCTGATGGAAAGTGATAACCGTCACCTATAGACATGAGCAGTACCATGGACATGACAGAGTATACTGTTTCGCCCATGATACCTCCCATGCGTTGCCATTCCTGAGGACCAGGTGTTATTCCCCTGTACCCTGTAAATTCACGCCATATCCCACCCTTCAAACCGAAACACAGCAATGCAAACACAACTGCTTTAAGGTTGAAACATGAATGGGACAGAGATACCCAAGCAAACGACTTTTTTACTAAGTCTCTTTCTGTGTTCATCTAATCAAAGAATATTTTCTCCGATTTCTTCATACTTATTCGAACTGGGACTTAATTTAGTAGATATTATGTATGCTCATATAACTTACGTAAAATCATAAAGCCGGATCTTAATTTATATCTTCGTGGTTCAAGGAGCGTAATTAACATTTAACAATACAGTTTTTGATAATAATAATAATAACTAACTGAATTAAAAGTCTAGTATAATATACCTGTTAACGTCCCACTATTAGACAGAAGCGTCTTCTCCTTTAAAAGAGAAGATTTCCGTAATTTTCGGGTTTTACTCATACCTACTTCTGTTGCACAGATTTAAGGTATATATTATATACTTATAACGCTACCCACATACATGTACTTATATCTGATTAATATACTATTAGTAATTCATGGCTTAGTAATTAGATATTAAAAAAAAAAAGCATAATTTTACGTCGTTATGACTGCATAGTAAAAGAAATATAAATAATATCAATTGAATTCGATTACCTGCTGGTATGGTAGGTATATACATATTTATTCATTTGCAATGACTGTAGTTCTGTAGTTATAAATATATACTGTATTACTCTATATTGAATCAAAGTATAAACAAATTTTCTTAAATTATGACTGGAGTGCACTCTCTAAATAAAATCGGCAACAAATGGAAATATTAATCAATTGCCATATACTGGGGTTGATTATTTGTTTATTCATTTACAGTAGTATCAAATCATAGTAATATATTTTTAGTAGCTGAATAATACATACATTTAATGTTGTACGGATTCTCATCACGGTTATACCAAGAACGTAGCGAGGCCATTCGCTTCCTCTGTACTCCGTGTGACACCTCGTCCACTTATTGTCCATATATTTGAGTAGGTGCTTATAGCCTATACAAAATATAAGTAATTTCCTTTACATTTTATTCCTAGTTTTCTATCGCGTCTTGTTCTATTCTAGCAAATATGTTGTTTGTTGTTTTTCGGATTGTTGAATGAGTTATTATTGGAAACTATTTTACGTTCACCTTACAGAATTTTAAATAGCTGTCTAGTTTCTCACGGGTGTATAAATATTCCGTAAAATAATAATATGCTAATAATAGTGAAACTTGTACCAAAAATCTGTTGATTAGTTTAAAATAGTGTTTTTGATTATGTGGGTTGCGACCCAATGGGAAGTCCCCAAACCTCTACAAGGGGGTCGCGGAATGTCGTAAAGTCATAAACAAACAACAATTTCGCAAAGTAATCAATGTCTGTTTTACATACTTCATTATTATTGTATTTATTTATTTATTGTATTTAACTGATACCTAATTATGAATATAAATACAAATGTACCGATTTGATATTTGTAATGTAATAAAACACACAGAGATTAAGGAACGCGGAGTGTAGGGGGTTACAAAATATTTTTACATGCTGTGAGTCGCGCCATGAAAAAGATTAAAAAATACTGGTTTAGAAGTAGTAACCACAGAAATAGACAGACGCAGACTTAATTTACATTTATTTCAAAATATAAAGAATTGGTGAATAATACTTTTTTGATACAAAATTCTCGTAATACAAATATACTCGTAGGTTGGGGTTTATTGGTTGAATGTTTCCGTTCCGTTTACTTTCAAACATTTATAAATAAAAGGGACTCTGTTATATTGAATATTAAAAATGAGATCATTGTGATCTTCAATTTTATCAGGAAATTACATTTTTATTTTTTAAATATTTTTTTTATAACCTCTGCTAAAAATAATTTTGCATTCCTATTTTGATGGATATTAAATTTAACTATATAGATACACTAGTAGTTACGTATAATGTAGTTAACTGAGCTAATAAGTACCTAATATATAATTGGCCGTGTGGTCCCAGCGTACAATAGGCCACCTTTTCCTTTTCCGTGGGTGTCGTAAGAGGTGACTAA